GTGAGTGAGACGTGTTCAAATTAGCTACTTTACCAGCTTCTAGCTCTATAGCGCGTGGGCTGCACGACTTAGCACTAGTTGCAATCGATTTCTTGGGATGGATTTGTATATAATGAGCTAAAATTACACCTATTCTGAAAAACTCGAAGTTGGTGCAATGTCTTCTAGCTATCTTACTACTAAAATTCTATATTATATCCTTTATAGTAGCTAGGCCTTACTTACTAAGGCTTTTAATATACTCTATAAGCTATTATTATTACGTAGTATTAAGAGCTTTTAGATACTTATATTTAGTCTTACGTGTTAATAAGATGCCTTAGTGCCTTTAGCTAACTATAGTTCGTAATACCCCCTACTTAGCAGTAACTCTACTATATAAGAGTTGTTCTCCTGGTTCTTACGATTCAAATTCTTTAACAGCTGAAGCAATTGGATCCATATTGGTGGAGTTATGGCGTGTTGAAGTTTGAGGCCAGTTTGGTGTTCTGGTGCGGGGTGTGCGCCAGCTGAACATGTGCGCCAGGTGCACGGACACGGTAGGACTTACTATGTTGTCGTTTAGACGTAAAGCTTTTAGTTCAACATTTACAAGTCCAGCGACGCCTTGATCGCAATTTTTAGTAGGAGCAATGTTCAATGAACCGCTAACCTTTCCACTTCCCAGTGCCTGTGGACTTGCTGATCTGACACTAAGCGACCCCCCCCCCATTTAATGCTGCGTCAAAGCCCGTTCCAGCTTCTACTGGGTGCGCAGTAACACGACCCTGGATCGTAATCTTAGCCGTAGCGGCGACGGCTGAATATTGAAGAAATTCAATAGTTAATTCGACTTCTAGGGTATTTCCCAAGATTTGCTGGCCAGAATATCTTGCGAAGACGCTAGCAAAGATAAGAAGTAGCGCTAAACACATTGCTATAGAAAGCGTAAGGATAATAAGTAGGTTTCTATATATATTAGTAAACGATAGTAGAAGTGGACGGAGACCTTACAACTATGGAGATAGACAGACTAGAAGTTGATGTCTTCTAATAGTAGAAGATAGGAGGCGAGTTCCGGTAACAATCTAGTTGAAAAAGGTCGATAGAATTGTAAAGCTGAGAAGAGTGAAACTAGAGTGCAGAGATGGTACAATATATAATTATTCAGACAACACCTAAGGTAATACAGTCGATTATCTCCTCTCGTAATCCATATTATAATGTAAAGTATCAATATCTCAACACTTTAAGGTTCCATTATAAGGTCATAAATAAAAGCTAAAATCTCTAAGAGTTCCATTACAAGGGCTATAAAATAGGCTTAAGATACTCTTCAACTCTATTTACGAGAGAATAAGCTACGGCTCTATGCTTACCCACCAACTTTCTATGATTTCGGCCTCTTTCTGTACGGCCCGATTTTATTACACGCAATAAAGAAGGTTGATCTCTTTGACGGGGATGGCGAGGTTCCAGGCCAAAAGCGTTCAGGTCAGAAGGTAATGGAAAATGTATCCTCTTGAACTCCTTCATATCGTCCACTTGCTTTAGCTGCTCTCCTTCCTGATTGTGCTGTTGTTGCCGTCACACCCCGTCCTCGTTGAGATCCAGGCTTCGCTTAAGCACTCCCTTAACTGACCCCTGGAACTCCGGTCTGACCCTGTTCGTCGGGCCCTAACCGCTGTTTGGCCACCAAGACCGCGTTCTAGCGTCCGTGATGTCATCCTCACTGCTAGACTGCAACACCCTCATCAACCTGCCCCCCCCCCTCTTTCTTCCCGATTATGATGACATAGTCGACTATAATATGACCCCTATCACCTGTGGCACCATATCCAACAATAAAGAACTGAGTGACAGCCTCCAGTAGAGCAATGGAAGGGTCCCCCGCATAAGCAAAGGACGGCGGTGGACTAGTGAATCGAGATTTTCTTTGGGCGGAGCGAGCAGTGGAGGATTTGTATCCAGCAGGGAGCTAAGTCTACTATTGGAGAGCTCACTTCCCGGACGGAGCTGAATTATGGCGAGACACTGTCAGTCTCGGCAGGCTGACCCGGACAGTATATGTCGGGGCGATGTTGGACCCTACTGATATTTCTTTGCCACTTTATCCGCAGATGGCTTGCCGTCGGTTCTGATGAGCAGTGCAATGACCGCGTTTTCAGCCCCGTTGGTGATTAGACGGACTACCTTCCCGACCTTTACGGCCTTATTGAATCCTTGGGGTATATAGCTCATTCCCTCCTGTTGCTTTTCCTGCTTAATACCGGGACCATATTGTTGATGCGGAGCCGTCACTGCCAGTTGGGGGAGCAAAGAAAGAAGAGCAGTAGTATATATTGTGTCCACTTTGGGAGGGGGGGTTGTGTGTTGAACGAAAAAACTACCACAGAATCAATTGTAGAACTTGAAAGGATATCAAGGAAGACGAAGAGTTTCTTGATGTTAAGACCAGGGTTGTAAGTGTGGAACGAATCTCGGCTTTCCACCCCTCTTTATACACAGCTCCATTCTGCCTCAACAAGTCACTGCGCATCTGATCCACTCGATGTTACCCACCAGTTCTCTCTCAGATGAATCTATCAAGATTTTCAAATTTGGTATAGGGTCCGTCTCGCAAGTAAAAGGGTTTTGTACTTACCATAGATAGTATACATCGCAGGCGTCAGGATAAGACCGCCAGCCTATTCTGAGGCTGCGACCGTGTCTCAAAAGTGCTGGGGGCTACGCGTCGATGTTTGCTCAAAAAGGTAACTTGATTCTTCAAGCAAAATCACTTGTTACGGTCAGGCGGGAAACAAGCCCGCTCTGCATTCGGACTCTCCCTGCGCCTTGTCACCCTATCCCCATGCCCCCGCCCCCTTTGCGCATCCCTCGACCTGGCCAAACAAAAACACAAAAACATGCGACAGCGAGGATTCGCCAGAGGTCACCCGACTACTAATCCGTCGGTGGACAGTTTAAGTACAATTGATCAAACGGGGAATTCCGCTCACAGCTAGTTGCTAGATTAAAAAGTTCTCATAGGTGCATCGAGCGAATTAGGCAGAAATCATGGAGGCCTTCTGTCAAACCGGCCGGTGGGGAGCTGGGGCCTATCGGGGGTGTGCCCTCACGCGCATACATGTAGACCCACACCCAATTTGACGGTCGCATTTGCAGCCTCTGAGGTTTCTTCCGACCAACAGCAATTCGCAGCAAGGAGCTTGAGGTTTGCAGATTTATTACGGGGAGACAGGTGCGCTGTGCATGGCAGTGGTGACGGTGGCGAAGCGATAGTACTAGGTACTAGTACTAGCTAAGCACGCGTCCAAACATCGTTCGCCGAAGTGAGCTCAGCTACACACGTACATGCTCAAATACGTCTATATCGAGGACTCGGCGCATTAGTCGCAACTTTACGAGGCTAGGAGGCCGCTTATAGGCTTTGTGGTCTTTTTTTCGCTCTCTTTTAGTCTCTCCTTTTCTTGTTAGGTGACTGACTGCCCAGGCAGTGGCAGATGAGGAAATTCACATCTAAACCTTTCAAGGGCGATAAATCGTCTTCTGTAGATGATATGTGGAATCAGAAAGTTTTCAAATTTATCACAGAGGAAGATGATAGGTGCTACAAGGCTTGGTAGTCTCATGCGTGAGGCAGACTTAGCAGAAACACAGCGACGAAGAGAGCAGGTTCGCGGAGCACAAAAGTATCTCACATAGACTTCTCCACTCTTCTTCCTACCATGTCACACTGAGGGCACGTTTGCTAGTAATACCATCAAGTGTAGTATCCTTTTTGCGTGTCCTCCAAACCTAACGTGACTTTACGACCCACCGCGAACGAAATGAAGCATACGTCGCGTCACTAGAAACCGAAGTCGTACGACTTCGTGCTAATAAAGCACGCTTAGAATCGGAAGTTAGGACGCTATGTGCTGAGAACAACGTGCTAGAGAGGCTCTTGACACAGCAAGGCATTCCAGTACCAGCGGAAACTCCACCCGGACGCCTCAATGACATCGCCCATCTATCTTCCAATAGTCTAGATAATTACTCAACCTCTTTCTCAGAGGCAGCAATTGACGGCGCTCACACACTATCCATAGCACAAGAAGACCCCAGCGCCAATTGAAACAACCGTCGACAATAAATCTACATCTAGCAACTATAAGCCTTACCTAGACTTAAATCACCCTCCTCAGCCATCAATTTCTCCTAATTAACCTGAAATCTATCCTTAGGCTCTCTACCTTCGTACCTCGGCTCCCCAGTTAATTCCACTTCAACACCAACTGCCAAACTCAGCACGCTGGACCTGAGAGCCCTAGGCATAGACTTTGTCCTAACCTTCGAAACCCCCTATCTCTCACACATCGACGTTAATTCCTTCTTCATCCTTACAGCACTTCCATTCATATTTCGCAGATCCAGGCATTGTCCCAATAATATCTACCGGTCACGTCCTCACCCTTCCCCTACCGGCCAGCGCCTCCACTTTTATAGCGCCTGGCGCGTCCCCTGCGCTAGCCTCTCGCAACTACTGCAGCTGTCTGCATAGATCCCCTAGCAGACGATGAAGTAACGCCAATCCAAGCCTGTGAGTTTGTGCGGCAGCATGAGGGGTTTGGAGGGTTAGATTTTCCCCACTGTGAGGTGCCCAAGGAGAAGTTAGTCGCGGCGGTGAATTGTTATAAGTTTGGGGGTGTGATATCGAAGGAGGTGCTGGAAAATAGTGTCTTGAATCATTTGTGGTGGGTTGGGTAGGAGGAAGGGAGAATAGAGAATGAATCAAGGGAGTGAAGAAAGAAGGTGCTGAAACCCATGACAGCGCGCAAGCAATGCGCAATCTGGAAACGCTTAGCAAAGACGACACTTTCATCAAATCAGCTTTCATAGAAGTGTTGACGGTGAGAGCGGGGACTGAATACCAGCGTGCACAGCAGGAATCAGTCTGCTGAAGAATCTTGCGGATAAGACATAAAACGCGTTGAGCCTGGAATAATGCGTAGGGTCTACTGGAACCGTCGAATATGCGTGGGTGTCAGTTGTCCCCCCACTTAACCTTTTTCATAATCTACCGCATTTACGTGTACACCCATCGGAGATAACATCTCCGAGTTTATTAGTCTTTTCTAGTGTCTGTATCTCTTATAGCTTCTCGGTGTCGTGAAATTAGACTCCGTTTTCTAAATACTATTATGCGTAGAATTAAGCATATATGCGTGATTTAGAGCAACATAGACGCTAATAATTATAATCTCATTCTATAGATCAACTTGCGATCAGCTTGAAGAGAGAGTATGTGCGCAGCCCTCCAGAACTCTACATTCAGGAGTCGAAGAGCATAGTCAAAGTGGCCATAATCGACACAATAAGCCGGATAAGCAAATATCCAGGTACCGCGGTTATAGATCCTGTGATTTCTATTACTAAAGACATGAGTTACGGTAGTTTCGCCTTTCTAATCAAACACTCTACTAGCACACACAGATATGCCACTTTCCTCTTCGACCTCGGTGTTCGCACAGACTAGGAAAACGGCCCAGGAAAACGGCTCAGCTACCTTTATGGAAGGAGCCAAACAGTTGGGTTGCATCATGGAAGTGGAAAAAGATGACACAACTATGTTACGCGAGAACGAACAGAATTCAACCAGTGTAGGAGGCACCTTTAGGTCTCACTAGCATTTCGACCAAGTCGGCACCCTAACACATCTCCCCAGTCGACAGATATCATTATTGGACTAGGTTTTAAGTCCCATCATTTACCCACGTTTCCCTACTGTTCGGGAGTCTCGAGTAGATGAGAGAGCATGGAAAGGGCGTTTGCTCAATGAGATTAACTTTGAGAAAGAAGGTCAAGGGCTGAAAATTGGAAAATTTGACCCAATCAAGTTTTACAGAGATGGAGGTTTTTATTTGTTGGATATGCCTGGTCATGCAATTGGACATATTTCGGCTCTTGCAAGGACTACCATTGATCCCCCGACCTTTATGTTCATGGATGGGGATATCGCACACCACGGCGGTAATTTTTGGCCAACTGAATACGTACCCTTGCCTAGAGAAATCAATCGACACTCATTCAAGCATGCTCTCTCGCATCTACCACCAAAATGGCCTGGTGAGCTATTTCTCTCAATCCAACCCAAAAATAGTAGCAATCAGTCGTCCTTTGATCCGAATCCAGCCGAAGGAGGGTGGCATTTATCAGTTACGGAAGCAACACGCAGTATCTAGAGAATTCTCGAGTACGATGCATACGATAACATCTTTCTAGTTATTGTCCATGAAATAGCTTAATTTGTGTCGTGATTGTCTTTCCAAAACCAGTAAATGACTGGCGAAACATGGGATATAAGGATTCAAGTCAATAGGGTCTCCCTGGAGATTTTGTTGGAGCAACCAGTCATTGTGAATGAGGCATTTTTAGGAGTAGATAGTACGGAAACCTGAGTATCGAATTTTCTCTGTGCTTGCACAATTCTCATTTGTCGTCGTGTTTTTGTCTAGGAGAATGTTATCAGCTTAGCGAAAAAGGATTTATTCTCTCACTCCTAAATCCTGGTGTCGATGTAGTAGGAAGTAGAAAACGAAGATTTAGAGGTTTCGTGTCAATCTAATTGTCAGCGTTCACTAGTGCCTTCTCATCATATCGGTATCCCTACAGTTTCGATGAGCTAACTACTTTGCGCACTTCTTTCATCCCATTGACCGTCAGTCCAACGCCACTTGGAACGATGTCCTTTACTAAAGGTTTCCGTTTGATTGTGCCAAGGATGGCAAACATGTCCTGAGCTGCGGCCTAAATAATCACAATCTTCGCTATGGAACTTTTTTTTGCTATGCGAACTTCCGGTTTCGCTTGGAGATGTCTTTTTTAGCATCTAAATTCTTTCCCTGGAATTTGAAAAATAGGAAGCTGGCCGTAAGATACATTCGATGGATATAAATTGGACTTAACATAGTGCAATGACGACAGCAGACGTCCTGAAAATCTTCTATCAAATTGTAAAGTAAGTCATGTATCAAAGCCATGTGCAAGAAAACTGAAAGCTACATAGGTTATGCTAAGGCCCCAGAAAATATGAGCGATAACGGCCATGATATAAAGCTCGACATGGTAGCAATAAGAGTCAAGTTCAGGCTTAAGTTTTATTAAATGCGCAGCAGTGATAAGATAGGAGAGATAGACGAATAATATAGTCAACTTATAGCTATAGAAGAGCTTTACTATACTATAAGTCTTCATTATAACTATAGTTTATAATACTACTATCTTATTATAACTATAGCTTCCTATTCTACTACCTTTATTACAACTATATTTTAGCTATTATATCTAATAAGTATATACCTATTAAGAGGTTTTTAGTAGTATTACTAATATATTATACTTTAACTATAAGGTTATATTTGTTAATACCTAATTACGGTAGGTTAGGGTGTGGTCTACTATTCTTTTCTAAGATAATTGATTTAATACGCTACATAGCAAATAGATAGAAAAAGGTCAAGTAATGCTAAAGCTATAAACCCTATTGATGAGTAAGTGGTCTTCGTGAATCTCGCACGGGAAGCTATCGGCTCGAATAGTATCTATCTCAACAACTATGGAAGACTCACAATAACAAGCCTTTGTATATCACGTAGCATCAGCTATACCTTATTTCTGTGGCAGATTGGAGGTATATCTCCATTGGTGTTAGTCCGGATCCATGTCTCAAATCCATCAGATTTCGCAACTATATTCCTAATCATCGGCAGCGGTAGGATATGCAAGAACCCTGCCAGAATTAGTGGCCTGCGTTATAGTGTAATCGTCGCTCTTTGCTTTGTTCGCGTATCATACTTTTTCTCAGCCCCAGGCCTGGGTCGTCAGAGATGATAAACGTATGCTCAAGCTCAAGTTCTCTTCAACTATCATTAGTGGTGACAGTACTTATGCTTGAAATAATGACAGCTAGATCCTAAATCACACGATTGGATATCTAAAACTAGACGCTCTGAAACGAAGAGGCAGACTAAGAGTTACAACCATGCATGCTGTAATATAGGGAGATGTGCAATGGAGTAACTGGATCCGACCAATTGGTGTATTTTTATTCTCATATAATTAAGCATTATTTTATTACCCTGCATCCTTTATCAGAGGTACATCCTTCTCTTCGTCGCTATTAGCGCCTTCCTTGCACCATCAGTCAGTACGAAACATATCGCTTCTTCGTAAGAACTCTGACTGTTATTTTCAAAGTTATAGATGTACATCTATATCTTTACATAAGGTATTTAACCAGGAATTTAGAGTTTGATCAGAGGTCCATAGCTAGTAAGTTTTACTCATACAATAATTTGCAACTCCAACTACTTGCCGCATCTACATCTCCGCTTCCATCGTATTTAGCCTGCTTTGGATACATGCACAACGGACGCTGCCTCATTATCCCTGTCTGGGTAGCCTCGTTCACATACTTTGTGCCAATGACAAAATCCGGCCCCTTGCCCTCCTCAACCCACCTCATCATTGCGAGCATAGCGTCGTGATCAGCATCCTCGAATCCAGGTACACTGTATACTGTAGGACCCAACGCTGCAGCTTGGTTGGCGCCTGCAAAGTACCACGGCGCATTAACTGTGGGGAAGGTGCCTGAGCAATGGCCCATACCCGGCACAAGGAAGAAGCGGAAGAAGTCATCAACCTCAAGCCCACGTGGCTTGAGTTCACGAACTACTTGGTTGTAGAAGTATGTTGCTGAACCTGTGGGTATCAGGCCGTCACTCATGCCGTGATATGCCAGGATCTTGCCGCCCCTGGCATGGAAAGCTGAGAGATCAAACTTGACAGTTGCGTTTCCAGGATTTTTGGCATCGGCGAGACGCTGGATACTTTCGTTGTAGTCGTACGGCGACCAATCTGCGCCAAAATTCAGAAAGTAGCGGACGTAGTCGGTGCCGAGTGGATTTGGTAGGTCGCTAGAAAGGAGTGCCCATTGAGGTTCGCTTCCGTAGTAGAGATGCGGGAAGGTAAACGTTTGATTCTCACTCCAAGAGTCCGAGTATATCTTTGTCAAGGTTGACAGTTGAGGGGCAGTAAGACAACCGGTGGCACTAGTGTTTTTGATGTTCTGACCACATAAGAGCTCTTCTGGACGGAAATTGCAACCTTGCGGGTCTGAGATGATAGTATCTTTGACGCCATCTTGGACATCGCACTGCTTCATCACCTCTTCACCGATAGCAGTGAACTTAGAAGGCGGTATGTGATAATCAGCTGTGGTTGGCAAATTGTACATCGCCAATTTGATCGTCCACGGTTGCAGGTGGGTTGTCCACCAAGCAGGGGCACCTGCGATAATACCGTCAAAGTCCTCAGGGTATTGCTCAGCTTCTTTGAGACCCTGTCGGCCTCCAGTTGAGCAGCCGGCATAGTAATTGTACGAGATTTCTTTTGAGTAATAGGCAGAGACAATCAACTTAGCTGTCACTACCGACCCGTGCATAGCAAGATGTCCCCAATTCTCAATCTTTTCTGGTTGTTGGTATGCCCAGGATCCGTCTCCCGAGGATGAATTATGGCCAGTGTCTGTTGACATGGTCGCAAACCCATAACGACTGCCAGGTCCCTGTGCAATGGTTAGCAAAAGTGTTCTTATACATAGAAACTCCAGTCCCACCATATCTTCCCAATTGATACCTCCCCCAAACCCTCCATTACCAATTGCTAAAAATCGATCATTCCATGACTCTGGTAGGAATAGTCCAAACCCATAAGTAGTATTACCGATCGACTGCACTTGTACAGAAACAGCACAGAGAGCTGGAAGTCCAACTGGGTTTGTTGGATAACTAGTGTCACCCGGGGGCACCTGTAGGGTTGAATTTTCCTGGAGTGGATATGCCCAATTTACGCTAGCATTCGCAGAGAGCACAGACTGGATGCTGGATGGCGAGCAGTCAAGAGCCTGCGTCGCTCCGAACAGAACACCATAGCTAAACAGGCTGTTCCACTGCATGTTGAAACGTCTTTTTATCATCAAAGAAAGAAATTTCGTAGCAAAATCAAATAAATTGAACCAGAGATGCGCCATTCTTAAATAGTAATTCCCCAGCCTTGTTTGACCTCTGCCTTGCTAGTCTATTCTATATTACGCGTTCTTAGCCGGTCGCCCCACGCTCCACATCTTGGCAACTTTTGTGCTAGGATTGTTGCGATTTTCGAATGATCTGCTAGGAGTTTTCTACTTAGGGGTAGCCAGTCACCGGTACATACTAGTTCCAACCCCACAATTGTGGGGAAGCAGTCTCCCATCAGGACTCTACCTGCCTGTTCGCGTCTGGTCTAACTCCACTCGAGTCTTAAACGCATCAATAATGCTTTAATAATTTTCTATCACCAAGCTAGAAAAGCCGAGGCTAGTGAGTCCTTATCGTGAGTCCGCAGGGTAGCTTCGACAAAAATCAGAAGCCAAAGTAAACATATCACGACAATTGCTAACCAACTACAGCTTTCATTCCACCTCTCGTTAATTACTCTCCGAGAGAAATTTTCTTTGTATATGTAGTCCCTGCTAGAGCGATCGTGAAATCCAATACTAACAAAGCTACGATGTAAGTTGCTATACCTCGCTATTCTCTTTCCACCGAACTTGCTACTACGCCGTTCCTGATTTTCTGGACTATTGACCATGATCATCCTCTAGCGTATCGTGTCAATCCCAAGGAAATCACCAAAATTTGACGAGAATTCAAACAAACCAGAGTCCTGGGTCCACCATAAGGTGTGTACGGGACCTATATCTAGTGTGTTAGTAAGACTTTCTCATATATTAACAGTTATAGGACTTGTCTCTTGTGTCTGAGTCATTGCATTCACCAGCTTCATTATCTTCTGTTTGAAGAACTTTTCTCCAAGTCCAAAGTCAATCGTAAACCACGCTCATGCTCGTTTTACTTTGCATTTGTTTCAATCGGAGGTCGCTTACAGTGACTCCGCCGACAACCGACGGATCAGGCGCTGCACAAAATTAGCTGATAACGTCGCCAAGTCGCGCAGGTAGGTCAATGTTCACTACTCTCATTTTCCGCAATGCGCCAATATAAGCTCCCAGAAGCTTTGTCCGAGAGTTAACATCCAGTATGGTTTTGAACAAGCCGTTGATAGGGATCTTGAGAATGATGAATGCTGCGCATACGAATACCTTCTAGCTGGAGAATGGGCAATAGTGGAGAAAGCCACCTATAATCTTAATATCAAAGTCAAGGCCCAGATCCACAAGTGAAGATACTGTCAGATACAGACGGAT